ATATAATATATTAAGGGATTATAGTAATTTGATAATTATAAAATAATTAATTAAATAATTTTGCTTAGNATATAATATATTAAGGGATTATAGTAATTTGATAATTATAAAATAATTAATTAAATAATTTTGCTTAGCAATGTTTGAGACTCAGTTATATAAAATAACATATAATATAATATATTATTTATTATATAAATGTTGAATATAATATTAAATAATATATTATACTATATTATACAATATTATATAATTGTATATTATAATATTAAATAATATAAAATTCTAATAATTATCAAATAATATTATTATATATATATCATATATTAATCCTTGCAATTGATAATAATTTAAATAATATTTCTACTAGAACAAATTGAAATAAAAGGTAACAAAAACATTCTGAAGCAAACCAATACTACAAATGTCAAAACCTATCATCATTAATCATTATTAAATAATTCAACACCAAATAAATAAATTCATTCATCAATTAATAAAAATAATTTAAAAATATTTCATGCTATAAGAAGAAGGTATATATAGGGAATACGGGATATGGGATAAAAAGGTTTAATAAAGAAAGAAATGTTGAAAGGATGAAAAAAAATAATAAAATACACCAAATAACCAATATTACTTTGTGTACCGTTGCTCAGTAATCCTGAGGTGAAACTTTGTGTAGGATAAAGTCCAGCTGACAGAGTTGGTGGTACCGTTGTTGGACCTGCACGTTGGAAGGCCTGACTAAAGTTTGGTCTGTACATGGCTGTTGGTGCACCACCACTTGCAACTCCATTAACTGCTGACGAACTGACTATCGTTGCTTGACTGAAAATAATATTAAAACATATTTTTCAATTCTTATTATTCATTATTAACCATTCTCTCTCCCTCTCTCTCTCTCTAACTCTATCTCTCTCTTTCTCTTATACAAAATGAAAACAACAAAATTATCAGTCATTTCTTTAAATCGCAAGTTTATTAAACAAGTTCATTTGTATTAATAATTGGATGATGTATGAGTGGGTTAAATAAAAAAATTAATAAAATTAAATAAAATAAATAAAAAAATTATAATAAATTATAGTAACAAAGTATAAAGAAAATAAAAAGAAGGAAGGAAGATTAATTTATCTATTTTTAGTTAAGATCGTGGTCAATTATAATCTATCATCCACTTGTTATTATTATTATATATATATTAATTTATATGTCTAATAAAATTATTAAAATAACAAATAATTATTAAATTAATATATATATAATATATAATAATTATTAATAAATTATAATTATAAATATAAATAAATTAT